AAAAAAAAAAAAAAAAAAAAAGGGGAGATGAAGAATAAAAAAAATTAAAAACAAGGAACAGCTTGCAGCAACCGTGGTAATGAGATAGATGGACATTTTCCTGCAGTCTGCCAACACAGCTGGGTTTGCTGGAAAAAGGCTCCTTAGAAATCTGTTTGATATGTGACCTCCTCCTCTCCCACCCGCCCCCCTCCAATAGCTGCTGGATAAACAGAAATGTTTGCCACAGCACATCTGGGCGTGGCTGTGAGGTCTGCCACCATGGAGAATGAGATCACAGCTTAAGCAACTGAATCCCTGCAGAACCGGGACAAAGTAACCAACCCCCTTATTAAATGGGTACAATACATATTAAAAAAAAAACAAAAAAACATTGTTTAGCCTGTTAACCTTGCCTGTGTTTATGGCCATAAAAAATGAGAGAGGTCACAGGCTAAATGGAAATGGAATCTGAAATATCCTTTCATGCCTATCTATCCGTCTAAATTCTACATAGCCCCCCATCAGCAAAGCAGCCCCAGTTCCTGGGTGATACCTCCAGGTCTGGAGGGAGGGAGGGAGGGAGAAGAGCACTGGTAGGGGGTGGGCACAACACATTTTATTTCATGGGCACTGCATGTCACCGCACTGTATGTGCTCTCTAGCTCTTTTTCTGTGGTTGGGGCCTGGGGAGACGGCCTCAGATTCTCACCTCAAGGTTACCAGTTCAAATCCCCTCCTAGGGGAGCAGCAATTGAAAAACAGTGCCACTCTAATGGCTCTTCAGCGACCTCATGGTGGTGTATTAGTATCATCAACCCATTTCCTAAACAAAGTAAAGATGGTCCAGTGGGTAGGGCACTGAGGGATGGCTCTGGCTTTTTTGCCACCCCAGGCAAAAAAGCCTTTCGCCGCCCCCCCCACCGGGGAGCGCGGCAGGGGAGGGCGGCGAGCCCGGCCACCACCCCGCTCTCCCCGGCCAGCCGGAGCGCCGGGGGAGGGCAGCGAGCCTGCCGCGGCCCCACTCTCCTCCTGGCATTCCGGCTGGCTGGGGAGGGCGGCGAGCCTGGCCATGGCCCCGCTCTCCCCAGGTGAGCGCCGCCCCTCTCCCGGTGCCGCCCCAAGCACATGCTTGGAGGGTTGGTGCCTGGAGCTGGCCCTGAGGGCACTAGCCTCCAACTCAGGAGACCTGGATTTGATACCCTGCTCCATCACGGATTTTCTGTGCAACACGGTGTCTCAGTCCATCTCTGCCAAATGGGGATACTCATACTTCCCTATCTCCCAGGGGTGATATGTGGACAAATACATTACAGGTTGGGAGTCACCCAGATACTATGATAATAGGGGACATAAGTACAATAAATAAATAGATTGCAAGAACTGCTGCCCACCCAATCGGCTCAGCAGAAATGCTGGATGGCCCATGAAGACAACTCCCTTCCTCCACCTTGTGGTGGGCCCTTCAGGTACATTGGTGGGGCAGCGTGGGAAGCTTACACAGCTCCAAAACAAGCAAGCATAAAAGGACTTCAGTTTCCAGAGCTGCCAGTTGGCAATTTCCAGCAGTACTAAGTTCTCTGAAAAATGGGGCTGGAGAGAAATTCAACCCAGGTCCCTAACCCATCTCAGCTGGAAAGCAAAGAGGGCATCCTTAAGGCACATCTACACTTTGAGCTGGGAATTACACCTCCCTGCTTGAGTAGCCATACTTGTGCTAGCTCTGATCCAGCTGGCATGTTAAAAGTCGTGTCCTCACAGCAGCGTGAGCGGCTAGCTGTCCCGAGTACATACATCACATCTCAGACAGGACTGCAATCAGGGTGGCTAGCCCCCTTGCACTGCTATTATTAGTGGGCTAGCTCACAGAGCAAGCATGGATAAATCTCAGCGAGCAGGGAACCACGCACCCAGCTCAGAGTACAGGAATACATACCCTTACTGTTGCAGGGACAAAGACATCGATTGTCCCTAACCTCCCACAGTGAGAAAAATCCTATTTCCTCCAATGTCAGAGGGGGAAAGAGAACAGACAAAGCTGAAGAAGTACCTGTGCTTTGGGAAGACGGTCTCCAGATCTTCACCTTTCACCACCTTTCACCAGCATTAAAAGAAATCTGTGGATGTTTTTCCTCTCTGTGAGGGGGCGCATCCACACCCTATTAAGGCGGAAGCTAATGAGCTTGGTGATCCCTAACTAGACACACCTGAAATGCTTGCTCTGCTTGAAGGGAAGAAGCTTAAAAAGGGAAGGCCTGCCACACACAGGGGTGGTTACAGGAGAAGACTGCCGTGCCTCAGGCACCCGATTACAGGGCTAGATCAGCAAAGGAAATAGGCACTGAGCCAGAAATCCCTGAGACTGCTTGGACCAGGAATGGACCAGGTGTTACCAAAAAAGGGAAAGTCTAAGGAGCGACTCCAATCCTGATCAGGACAATAAAAAGCCTACAGACAAACCAGAACCCAAAGGGGTGAGGGAGAGACAGACCGAGAAACTGAGCACCTTTTCCCCCACCCTTCCTCTCTTTACCTTGTTCCTCCCTGCCCTCAGAGAGGGGAAAGGAACTCTCTGTTCTGGGAGACACTCTTGTTTAGGCTAGCCCAAGCAGGGGAAGAACTCAGGGTTACTCTACACTAAAAGTGCTACATCGGTGCAGCTGCACCACTGCCGAGAGCTCTCCCATCTGCAGAATAAATCCACCTCCGCAAGCAGAGGTAGCTAAGTCAGTGGGAGAAGCTCTCCCACCGATATAGCGCTGTCCACACCAATGCTTAGGTTGATGTAACTTACATTGCTCAGGGAGGTGGCTTATTCGCACCCCAGAGCGATGTAAGTTATACCAAAATAAGTGGTAGTGTAGACCCAAGGTTGGCTCCAGGGTTTTGCTGCCCCAAGCAACGGGGCGGGGGGAAAAAAAGAAAAAAAAGCAGTGATCGTGATCGGCAGCACTTCGGCGGCAGCTCCACTGAGCCACTTTTTTCTTCAGCGGCAGGTTCTTCCCTCTGAGAGGGACCAAGGGACCTGCCGCCGAATTGCCGGACGTGCCGCCCCTTCCCCTTGGCCACCCCAAGCACCTGCTTGCTGCACTGGTGCCTGGAGCCGGCCCTGGGTAGACCTGACCTCAGTGTCAGAAAGGAACCAACTTAAACCACAGTCTGATAGGGACTCCAGGCCCCCTACCCGCCACAAGTGATGGACAATGCAGGCAATTTATGCCTGATATAAGGAAAACAAAAACACAGAGATGGGGCTAGAGCTCAGCAGCTCTGAGCAGGATGGAACCCAACAGTGCTGTAAGTGGTTAGCTGAGATGCAGGAGCTGCAAGCAGCTCTGCAACAGCGGCTCCGGGAGCAATTGCTGCAGCAGTGGATCATCCAGCAGCAACTCCAAACGATGTGGCAGCAAAAGCTGCTGAGGGAGCTGAAGACCCAGCAGCAGGAGTTCCACGAGGAGATGATACAACATAGTGCCAATCTTACGCTCTCCAGGAGTCCTTGTGGGGCACACTTCCACCAAGGTGAGTCCCCCACCAATGCCCGTGAAGCTAACCAATATGGGGCTGGACAATGATCCTGAAATCTTTTTACCACCAAGAGGGTAGGCTTAGCCTCCCAGTAGCCTCCTGAGCAGTGGGCTTTGATTTTGGCTCCATACTCGATGGAACTGACCCAGGCGACCAACCATAACCTGGACTCAGAGCAGGCTAAGGACTATAAATAAGTCAAGTCCACCATTTTGGACTATTTGGACACTTCTGAGGCAACCCACCCTCAAAGATTTAGATTCAAAACCTATCCGAAGGGGGTCAGACCCTGCATAGTAGCCTAATGTTTGAAGGAACACCATTGGAAGGGACTCCACCCAGAAGAACAGTCCAGGGCCCAGGTTGCTAAGTCAATTGTGACTGAACATTTATAAGGATATTGCCAGCAAAAGGCAGAGTGTGAGTATTATGGCACCATGCTAGGACCTTGTCAGATGCAGTACGGTTAATGGAGAACTGTCTAGCAGCCAAAGGGTCGCTAGAAACAGAAATCGCTACAGGTTCAAATCTGTGCAGGACCGTCCTGAGAGAGACCAGGGAGGCCAACCTCAAAACGGTAACATCCACCAAACATTCTCCAAAATAATCAGTCCAGCCCCCAGACCATGGGAAGCCTGAGGGGCCTAGGGATCAGGCTCAGACATCATCACCAATGCTTCAAGGAGCTGAAGTAGGACCTGCAAAGTAGGTCCTGGCCTCTACTCCGCAGCCAAATTTGCCCCCAGCTAAGAAAAATAACATTGGTGTCAGCCCAGCAACTTGCCACTCCTGTGGGCAGACAGGACACAAAGAAAGAATACCCTCTTATAGAATGTGAGTATAGCCCGGGCCGGACTGCAGAAACACGCATCCAGAAAATAGCATCCCTCAAGTTGACAGTGTGACAGATTTTTGTTACCAATTTGTCTGGGCCATGGTTGATCAGGCTGGGGCCACAGGATTTTTTGGGGGGAGGAGATGACAAGGCACACCAGAAGTGTTTACATTTTAAAGTTTTATCGATAAAATAAAATAACAGCAGAGAGTGCTGGGAACGCTTTCACGTTACTTAGGGGAAGAAAGAAAGCGTTAATGCCCCAAGCCCTAACCCACTTTTATACTTAAACACGCACGACTCAGACTGGCCAAGTCTGGGTGTAACATCAGAAGAAGGGGGGCGGGGGTAGAAGGTGAACGGGAGTGCTGTCCTGGGCCCAGGCCGTCCAAGGATCTGCTGTGCTTTTTAAATTGCTTCAGCTTTTAGGAGGGTTTTAAGTCCTGGCTCCTTGGGGGAGAAGAGAGGGGAGTGGTGCTCCGTACAGGGACCTCTGCTCCTGGTGCCCTCTTCCAAACCAGCTTTCTATGGTTTTTTTAAGCTTTCCCAAAACACCCGGTTTCAGGGTCGTGAGACAGTTTTGTTGTTCCTGGTAGACAGAAGGATCTCATGTGCAATATGGGAGTGGGCTAACTTTTTATATCTTTGCTTCCAGAGCCTGTTGGCGTGCAATTTTAACAATTTTTTTTTAATTAAAAGGTCTGGCCTTACTATGCTAGAAACATACTGCATTAATTCGTACTGAAGTATTAAACTGTTTTTTTGTTGTTGGTTTTTTTGCTTTAGCAAGTGTATTAAAACCTTAGTGTTTCCTAATATTACCCAAAACATTTTGAGTTCCAAGGTGGACAAAGCAAATATCTGCATTTTAGTACATTCCATAGCTATACCAGTATGGTTTTTTATTTTCATTTGTTTTTCTGTTAGGCTGTCCTGTAACTGGGACATAGAGCTTAATTTATTTTTAATTACCTCCAGGTTTACAGTATAATCCCTGCTCCAAAACTAATTTTTTTTTAATATGTTGTCTGCTGCATGAGGATGTTTTTCTGCAGCATTTAATACACAACAATGCTAGCAACAAGACAAACACCACAAAACACAACATAGAACGCAAAACAATTTTTATTGTGACAGCAGATTCATGGTATTTTGGGTTGCTCCTCAGCTGGTATCCGCTTTTTTTGATTTTTTGAACAAAAGAACATGTTTTTACCCCTTTGGGGGGGGCAGATTATTGCTGAAAATATTTCTCTCTCTCTTTACCAGAGTTATGATTGCTTTTAAACTTTTAGCTTCTGCTTTCAAAACACACAGTGATTTGAAAAAGAAAACACAACCTATTGCGGCTCCCTTTGGCAAAGTGACCGTTTGATTACACAGCTCAGCGTGGGGCACGGTCTCTCTCTCTTTTCTACAGCTTTTATCTGCTATTTTGTTACCAAAAAAAATTTTTTACATTTTTTTCCCATTTTTCTGGCTTTGACAGCCCTGCTACAGCCACGACTTTGGTCTTTATTTAAAACATTTTAAATTTTGTAAAGCATTGAGTTACCTTAAGGGTTAAATGAGAAATACCAAAGTTAAACAAAACTAGTTACCTGTGTTTGGCAAAAGTGTTTTTTGGTTTTGCAACTTTGAATGGAAAATTAAAGGGATTTCAGTGGTATTATTTAAAACACGACCAATTTATTTTAATCCACAAAACGAAGATTGTACACACCCGGAGTGGGTTTTATTAGCAAATTTGACTAACTTGTTCATAGTCAAATGATTTTACTTAGATAACGTTTTTGCCTGGATTATTTACAGTACTTTTTTTTTTTTTTTTTTTTTTTTTTTAAAAAAGGGCCCATTTTTCCTTCAGAATGGCTTCAAAGAAACCAAGAATTTTTTTTTTAAACAAACTTTTTTTTTGAACATTTTTACAAAGTTTTACTGCTTAATTCCCTCCAGACTCTGCAGAGTTAACTTCTTACTTTCTTTTTGTACTTCTGCCACTATGCGCTCAGGGCTTGCAACCCGTTTTTTAATTTTTTTAAACTGTTGCTTGCCTGCTTGTCTGGGCCCCATTTTGTTTTTCTCCTTGAACCGCTTCTTTCCATGGTCACAGGCTTTGTTTCACTACCAATTTAGCAAGGAGGGTGGGCTCCTTAACTAGCCCCCACCCTTCCTGGTCCCTTTCCTCTTTATAATCGCCCCCATGGGGTGCTGTTCCTGTAGTTGGGGGTGCCATACATACAACCTTCTCCCCCCTTCACCCGCTGGACCTCTCCTCAGTCTTAATGAGGGCCACTATAGGGGTGCAAGGTTCCACCCAAAATTGAAGATCTTCACAAAAGGAGAGATCAAAGCCCTTACAAGGGTCACCCGAACCGTCCCCCGTGAGGCTTGCCATCTAGACCGAACACCTGGCCAATTGACGTTTTAACTGTTCCATTTTCTTTTCATGGAAAGCATGCTGCCGTTGCGGTGTATGCTGGGCACGAATGGTCAAGTCTTTGACAAGTCCCCAAAGGACCGGTACCTGCTTAGCCAGTGCTTCCAGGCGGGTGCATTCCGCCTTTTTGGCCTGGAAGTCCTGTCTCAAGGCTTGCAACTTGTCCTAGGCATAGACTTGGGTTGCTGCCTGGTTAGTGATCTGCGCTTTCAGTTGCTCAATTTCCCCACCCAGCTGTCAGGTACACATCCTCTTCCCAACTCCTTTTTTGTCCCCAACAACATGAGATACCACATGGCTATGGCAGTCCAGATTAATCCCACAGCTTCCCCTAGGTTTTTACCCTTCTGCTTTTCATACTCAGTATATAGATCTAACAAATCCTGCCAAGAATGCACTCTCCTCTGAAGCTCCATCACAGAACCCCAGGGATTGTATCCCACCTTGGCAAGAGCCCTCTCCAGGCGGGAGAGGTTTCACACACACCCCCTTGAAAGAGGCAGCAGGGTTCCGTCCCTCTTTGCTGCCTCCCCCATGGCTCAGGCATCAGGTTCACCTGCTTCCCGTGACACCAGCTGACTGAGCAGCCGGACTACCATGTCCACGCTCCCTAAAGTGCGTACGTCCAGCATTGAACCCATCGCTGATGCCATCGCCCACAATTGCGGGACTCCTGAGTCCACAGCTGTACCCTTCTGTTTCCTGAACATGCTGACCCAATCCGTTGGTACAACTTCTAAAAATTTTAATTGCTTGAGATTTCACATTGCTCACCTTGGCACCGGGGCTTACAATGTTCACCCCTCCTGGGCCGGAGGGAGAGATGCTAAGGTTACGGGGATTTAAAGAAACTAATGAAAAGTGCCCACATCAATGACATGATATTTTAATAATCTGCACTCAGATTTTCACCCTTATGGCTTTCTGCTTCAGTGAGACAGTTTAAATATTCCCTTTAATGATTATTTAGGATTAGGATATTCAATTGGAGATGAAAGTATGACCTTATAAAACATTATAGATAAATTGAGAACATTTCCACACAATATACAGTGTGGATCTACCTTCCCGGGGGCCATCGGGTTGTAACAACAGCACCAGTGATGATCCAAGATAAAAGCGTTCGAGGACTCGGACTCCGGCTGCAGTCAGATAGTATCCAAATCTCCTTGGTATGAGCTGATGGCACCCATAGAAGGTATCCGAAGGAGATGAGTGGGCCAAGGAAGGAAGGGTGGTAGAAAAGGAGATATAATGTGGATTGGATGGGGGCGGGAAGTGTTTTCCCCTGTCTAACATGCTTTGAATTTCTATTTTGCTTTCCAGTCCTGCCAACATTGCCGTGGTGTCCTTGGCTTTCGGTCGATACTTAATTGAGCCTCTCTTCGCCCCTTGCCATGCCCCTGCCCTGGCTGTGAAGCTGGTCACCACCACTGGCATCTGTGAGTAACCCTCAAAAACAATCCAAGCAAAAGTGGGGACGGGAAAAAGAGCAGGCTCGACTGGCTATTCCTGATATGATTCCGCCCTCTCTCGTTTTCTGCCTGTGTCAGCAAGGATTGCCCTTTTCCATGTCTGTCAAGCCCCATACAAAGCAATGGGATGCTCTACAAATATTTATCTGTAATGTCACCTCCCTATAGTAAATCAGGGCGTAGCCACGAGTGGGCCTGGATGGGCTACGGCCCACCCACTTAGCCTCCACGCCCACCTGAGCGTCACTCAGGCACCTGAAATCCAGGACGGAGCACGGGCGGGGCCGGAGTCCCCCAAATCCACAAGCTAAGAAGGGGTGAGTCATCCCAGGTGGGGGGGTGCCCTGAGGGGATGGATCTGGGTGGGGCTAGCACTAGGGCCAGAGCAGAGCCAGGCCGGGCGCCTAGACACATGACTGGGCGGGGCATGAGCAGGGTGCTGGAGACTGGGGCAGCAGCACGCAGTGCAGGATGCACAGACACAGCAGCGCCAGCAGGACAGAGGGACTCGGCCGCGCAGGTGGACGACACCAAGCCGGGGTCGGGAGGGGCGGGCAGAGCTTGAGCACCTGCAGGGCCTCTCTCCACCCCATGGGCGCACCCGCAGCCTGTGCGCCTCAGGCAGCCTCGCCTTCTAGTGCCTGCTGAGCAGTAAGGACCAGCTGGAATGGGTGGAGGGAGGCGGGCCCCCCGATCCATCATGCCCCCCTCTCCGTCATGCACCACAGTCCCGTCCCTGCGCCCCTAGCTCCAGGCTCTGCTATGCCCCCAGTTCTGTCACCTCACCCACGTCCCATGGCCCCTTGAGTCCTGTCCTTTCCCCCCCGCCAAATCTGGCCCTCAGCCTCTGCCCTCCCCCATCCAGCCCCTCTTCCCCAGTTTTCCCTTCCTGCTCTGGATAAACTTCTCTCTTCCCAAGGTGGTGAGGGTCAGGGAACCAGTTTTCCTGGCTGGGTATCCTGTGCGGGAGGGGAGGTCATAGCCTTTGGACTCTGCTGAACTGAAGACGGGGGGTGTCAGTGCCTATCATCCCCCCTGGCCCTAAGGAATGTGGGGAATGTCAGCCCAAAGGGGGGAACCTCTTTTACCCCGGCAGCTACCCACACTGGAGCATGGGGGTTGGGTCCTGTCCCCATGCGCGTGCCCAGCTTGGCAGGTGAAGCCCTGTGTCTGGGGGCACCAGGGCTAGGAAGAGGGTGTGGCGTCAGGGGAGAAGCTGAGCGAGCACAGTCTGTCATTGCCCATCCACCTGAAAGTCAGG